ACTCTAACTTGCTTTTTTCAAATTTTAAGAAAGAAGTTGATTATTTCATTTTAAACATCAGTCCTTCCTAGTTTCCTAACTTTTATTAGAATGTTGTTAGAACAGTTACAATTTAAATGTAACGCCGTACTTTCACATTGTTGACGCACGATCACAAACGAGGAAATCCGTTTCATTATTTTATTGACACTTTGGTTTTGAATGTAAATATTTATTAATAATAAAACACGTCTTATTGCATTTTGTTCAATTCAATAGCTTATTGTTAGAGGTCCGGAACTTAGTGCATGTATTAGAATAATCATATAAGAAGTATAGGAATGCTTTGACAACTACAAAAAATACGAGTCCTGTTGCACTTTTAGCACTCTTTGTAAAAGGCACATGGTTTATGAAATACACTATAAGTCAGAAACATATCCTCTCAACAAAGTCCAACTGGAGCTTGTGCCTCTATATTGTCAGCGACTCAACATCATAGTTCTTTCTTTTCAAATTGTACTTAGGAAAAACGATTCTTGAAACACTCGTTTAATCTCTGTCGTAAGTATTGGTTTCACGTTCTTTCATCTTTTTGAGCAGCTTTCGATTGTGTGCAATCGTCCTCGCCTTCCAGGTCGGGAATGTCGTACCTTTCTAACACTTTATCAAACAAAAACTTCCTCTTAAGTGTGCCGTATTTTAAAGCTTCTTCAGGATCATAACCTTCAGAATCAATCAGCTGCTGAATAGTCGCCTTTATAGATTTGTAGACGGGATCTTTTTTCATGGCATCAAACCACAGCAGTTTGCTACCAAAACTATTCAACATAGCCGTCATTTATGTTCTTTTCATATCCTTATACACATCTTCCATGGCTTCAGCATCGCTGATGTCGTTGTTTACCTCAATGAGCTCATTTACTTTAGTGTCATACTGCGACTGACACTTCCGGAACGCTTCATCTAAAATTTCGTCCAAAGGGTCTAAATTCAAAGACTCCCCTGATGAATCTGCCATAGCAATATCACTTCCACTATCATTGTCATTATCACTGAACTCGTCTTCTTGATCTATGGGTCCAAAAAATCCTCTTTTGCATCTTCATCATCAGAGGTAGAATGTGCAGACTTTTTATGTCGTAACATATTATCCTTTCTGTTGTATTCTTTAAAGCAAATATCGCATCGAAACATCACCTTCGACGTTTTTAACGCAAATAAGAAGGAGTTTAGGAAGTGATTTATATTAATGTTGTCCCAACAATAGTGATATCATCATTTTTCATATTATCATGATTAAGTTTTTTTCCCCACTAGATTTTGCATGTCTATTGTTCTTGTTGTTATCACCAACTTTAGAATTTTGGCGTCTGCGTCTTTTTAGATAACCTTTCCTTTTGGTATTTTTCTTTCCAAAATAGCCATTTCTTTGATTACACGTCTTCACTCTTTTCGGCAACCAAGCTGACAATGAACTGAACAAGCGTTCAGTCGTTGTATGAAACTATAATCAAATGTCTTTAAATAACGTTTTAAGTTTCTTTTTATTTCTGATCTTTAACGCAATTGGATCATTCTCGGTTTTCAAAACTTGACTAATGACCTCATTTTGTTTATTTATTTTGACAAAGGTAATAAACATATTGAAAGGTGTATAACTAATCTGTCTATGTACATACTATTATGACTACAGTATCTAGCAAAATGACAACGTTCTCAAGATATTTCACAAGTCATCTTATCGCACCGCTAACACTTAACGTTTTGTGGCAACGGCGAGTATTGAATTTATATCTTTACTGTCCTTGACATGTTCGGGTATTTGAAAGGGAAAACAGTTGTATTTCATGCTGCTGCCTAAATACAATTTGTTCGTCGAAAAAAAAACTTGACCAACCACTTGTTTTTACTTCACAGTTATGTCGAAGGAAAGACGCATCTCTTAAAGACAGTTAAGGTATGATTTAACCGTCATTTTCTGATTGGTTAAAATACTTCTTCCCACACGTCTGGCACGAGTTTTGTACATGCAGACGGAAATGGACGCACATGCAGGCGAAGATAAAGGCGAAGATAAAACGAAGATTACCCTAACAGGAATATTATCCCTATGTTACACGTGTATGTCACGGAGATTGTTTCTATGTTACACGTGTCTGGCACGAGTTGTTATGCATGGACGGGCGCACGTGCAGACGAAGATTTCCCTACCAAAACACACCTACTTATGTCTAGTTTGATGGTTATGATAATGTTTTTTAAAAAAATAAGAAAAATTGTCCAATTGTGTAAGTCAACATATATTCCAAGTTCCGTGAATATTGTGTTACAAATGCTACATTAATGCTGTATGAAAGATATAAAAATAACTTTTTTTTATTTAACAGCGTTCACTCAATGTGCTTTTATATATTATATTAATTAAAAAAAAACAACTTAAGACGGGCACTGTCTCCCGTTTCTCTACCTTTTTAATAAAATATGTCACGCTTTCAAATTGTATTTAACAATTTGTAATCAGTAGTATATTTGTCAGGAGAATGACTGCCTTGATGTTATTTAATCTTAGGAAAGATTTAGTAATAAAAACTAGAACAAACTTCCAAGATATGGAGGCTGGGCAGCATCGCCTGACTTAAAATTGAATTTGAAAAACTAGCGTGTAATTGTTTAGTTAACACTATTTTTTAGGTATTTTTATCTTTTTCTATCTCAAATCCATATATACATTTAAGCAACAAACTCTGATTATTATTTACACCCAAAACAAACACACATCATAAAATTTTATCAGCCATATATACGAAATATCTTTTCACGTATAGGTCTTTTATACGCAACAATACTAGACACCTGGAGAGCCCAAGCTCTAAACAACTTATAATCAAACAAAACAATAAAATCACCACAAATATGAAGAACACTAATTTAAAATGAATAAGATACAGTATATACCACAAACATTCAACCAACAATATTAACTTCCAAAAATCTAATCAGCATCAGAAAAGCAGACTAAAGCACCCAATATTTACAGATATCCTCAAAAACAAAGCATCAACTATATAACTAACACGACAAAATCACTCCAAACATTCAACCAATATCAACCAAATATATCTTACCAAACAGATATAACTCAACAACCAAATAAAATACAACAACCAAAACAACTAATTACAACCAATGAACCCTGATCAATAAAGATCACCACAATTAAATTCAACCAACTTCAACAAATCAACAAAACTCCCTTCAAAACAACAAATTCTCTTCTAAAAAAATTAATAAATAAATAAAAAAAAATGATAATGCTAAACACTGTAAGTGTGCTTCCCTAACTGATGTAAAGTCATAAATAATAATGGTAAACCAAGTTTAAAGTACGTCCCATTAATGCTCAAATATAGTGTGTGTAAAGATGTAATTTGATAACAGCAATACACTTAATAAAATGTTTTGAACAAGATATTTTTATAGACAGAGACGATTTTTATCGTTAATGTCATTTTACTTTAAATTAGATTATACGAGGACATCTTTTGTACGCTTGAGTAACCAGTCGGAAACGTGAAAACATCATGAAAATACACAGTCAATTTCCTTGTATTGCTATGTAAAACATTTACTTTATAATATTTAAATAAAAAAGCATACTAAATGTCACTGCAAATTTTACGAAAGCTAATTCATTTAAAGATTTTAATAAATTAAAGAAGTTCAATGCAAATTAATCTGATATTTTCTACTCCATTTGCAAAACGTTAGTGTCGTTCTTGGACTAACAGTGTAATGTTATATATTGTTTATCATTCATTCATTTCTATCTAACAAATTTCAAGTTTACTTACAGTAGGGTGAACGTTTCGGTTGTCAAATTTTGTCGTGCGTGCGTTTTTCGTTTATCGTGCGTGCGTATATCGTGCAATGTGCGTTTGATAAAACGCTTTCTCAAGTATGCATCGTTTACAAGCGTGTAACGTTTATCTTGCATCGTTTTTCGTTTATCGTGCGTTTGAAAGCGGGCGTTTGTTATCTCCAGAAACGTTTAGCGTGCGTCTGCGTTCGTCTAAACGTTTAAGTACCATGTTTTGCGCCTGTTACTTTTGAGAAGTTAAAAATATCTTAAATAGAGCTAAAGTTGTTGATTACGATATTTTATTTAACGTTTAGAAACGTTTGTATTTTTGCGTGCGTTTTAGCGTGCGTATATCGTTTAGCGTATTTCGTTTAGCGTATATCGTTTTGCGTGCGTTTGCGTTTTTCATTTGGTAAAGCGTGCGTGTAACGTTCGTTCATATAGCGTGTAACGTGCGAGCGTATTTTCCAGAACGTGCGTTTTTCGTGTAAACTGAATAGGAATTTTTAAATACAGCCAAACATGGCGCAAAAAAAATTCAGCTTACTTTTGTTGAACCTGTACATAACTGACAGTTGTTAATGCAATCTACTATCCATAGTACAGCCTTATAATACACCGGAATTCAATATTTGAATAGAAAGAAATGTGTTTATTTAGTATTTAAACCCAGCGGTAACAATTAGTTTAATCATAGTTTATTCCAAACATTTACACAGTTTATATATAATTTATGACAAAACTTGAGCTTGCAACAGTTTTAACAAATATAGATATCAATTGCTTCGAAAATCAAATTTTGTCAGCCTGATCACGTATGGTAAGTCATAGACAACCTTAACTACTTATTTCCTTAAAAAATGAGACCGAAATGAATCCGAGATTGGCCAATTAAGGCGCTTTGAACTTTTGCCGAATATTTGAAGAAAAATCAAATCTTTTCATTTAGCTTTTTTCATATAGAAACGATACGATTTTTAAACGTCATCCATACAGCGAAATTATGGCATCATTAGCTCACAATTAATTTCTTCAATGGTGACGAGACTTGCCTTATAATTGAAATGTTCAAAAATACGTTATTATAAAAAAGCAGTGTTAACAAATTCTTGCCAGAAGAAAAGTTAAAGTTAACATTATAAACAAACACAATAAATACCTTAATTTAATTTTCCTCCAAAAATCCCTTCGAAATAAATCTTTTAAGACATACAAAAAACAGAAATACAGACATGCACAACCACCTGCCTTTTAACGACTGTGCATTTACAAAGATAACTTGGTAATTTTATCACCACATTACAAATTAAAATAGTAATATAAATATTCACATCCTGTTCTGCTTTAAGATTTTGAAAATGCAATTTAGATTGTGAATATGATATAACACACAGTGAATATTATTTATAATTTCTTTGACGACTAATGTTTCGATCAATGAGATTGCTGATATTTCATGAGCAAATTAAAAGTAATAATATAATATTATATGCAAATATGATAAAATACGGTAACACTCAATGTAATAAGACTGACATTTACCAGACAAACCTTTCTGTGTGAGGGCATTCTAAGTTCATAAACATTTAACACCAATGTGGATATACCCAGCGAGTTGACTGTTTACAGCGGCAACGGAGCTCTGTTGAGTTTCCGCTTAACAGCTATCCAAGAACTAGATATTCCCGTCTTTGATATCAGTCGGTATTGAATTATTTTTCTTGCATATCTTATATTAACCATATTTTCCTTATCTTTTCATTCAGTTTTTTTTGACAGAAATAATCTGTTTTATTCTGTGAAGTAAGGAATGAACTGAGGTGACACCACAATTTACTAAAATTATATACCACGATTATAATCATAGTATTAACTGCAATTTAACTTTTGCGTGCTTAGCAATGCAATTATTAGACATAATCTACTAACATAAGTGCGGCAATTGAGAGCGATAATGCCTTTTGATTTGAGCACGTAGAAATAATCTAAATATATGTTTAATAAAACAATTTTTGAACTTGCATTATTATAATAACGAAAATAACAACATTGAAAATATTTAAAGTTTTGTCGACTTAATCTAAATATAACTTTTCATTTACAAATGCCACTCTTTGATTGATAGGCGTTTGCATACTTTATGCAAGATCAGTTTTATGAGATACTTTAAATGTTTATTGAATCATGTTCAACAAATGTAACTGAATATTTTAAGGTAATGTTTAAAGTTAAAAAGTTAACAAGCAAATCGTTTGAGTTTGAAATGTTTCTGTTTAAAATGAAATAAACATGTGTATAAATGCTATTCCTGTGGGTTATTTTGTTATGAAGGAAAACGATATGTCAATAGCCTTATATGCTGGACATTGTACTTGCATCAATTCTTTACAGTTTACATCAGATTTTTGACATAAGTCATTGCAGGATTCGCCGGTATAACTTATAAGTTTGAAAAATATGGTCAGAAATAAATATTTTATAATACAAAGTGTTTAGGGTAGTTAATAACAAATGCCTAAATTATAAAAAGACTGCCCACTCTTTTTATCATTTGAACGAAACATTGCATTCTAATGGATATTTATAACTTTTTCTTTGAGTCACATGGTTATTGATTATTCACATAGACTAGATTATAGATTGAATTGAATACTATTATGGTAACATTAAAGTTTTCTTGACTTTAACTTGTACACCCACCAATTACACATGGGTGGGCATAATGCCATTTTTTCAAATCGAAAAAAAATGTAACCGTTTAGAAAATAACACATTCAATATGATGTATAATATTTTGTTTCTATTACCGTGAGTAAACGTACATTCTATGAAGACCAATTTCGTCTTTAGTATTCAGATATTGCATGATATGGTTGTTTAGTTTCCGTTTTATGCAACATCAGAATCTATATTAGCAAATATTTTGAAGAATATTGACATTTATTATATGATCTAAATATAGCTGCAATCTCATTGGTCCAAACAGTAGTCAACAGAACTTTTTATAAAATCATATTTACTGGGTGTAGTATCATATTCACTGGCTGAATTGGATTTTCCCAGTCTAAAAATAGATTGAGAATCATACACCGTAGACTGTTAATTACGCGTGTTGATTAAAAAATAATTGTTGCTTTTTGTTCTTTATGGCATATTTCTCGATTAAAATATCAATACTTTACTATTATACTTAAAGGTTACACCGCAATGATGAGTATAAACTTTAATTATTTTTGTATGCGCAGCGTTCGCGTAGTCGTTGCACGCCTAACACGTGCGTCTTTTTTCCCGCGCTTCAACGAGGCAAAATTTGTACATGTATAATTATAAGGTTGTACTTTTGTGATTTTTTTTTAATTTCTAATTATTCATACAATAAAACAATTATTGACTAGTGAACCATTGAATATGATCTGTAATTATCAACTTATCCGCAACTGCTATTCCCGCATGATTTCCGAATCAGCACAAAAAACAACAACAACTATAACAACAACAAAAAAACCAAAACAAATGACCCCTAAACTCAATATCCGATATCAATGGTTGAGTAGAAATTTTGCGTCGGCCGAGGATCGAAGCAGCGACTCCTGGATTCTAATCCGATGTTCTCTTTTTTGAGACAAGCGGGCGAACAGACGGTTAATAAATCAGTAAGTATAGCAATTTAAGATAATTTAATTTCAATACAAATGTTCAATGTCCAAGCGCGTCCAAATCTAATAGTTACATGATAATCAAAGTGTTGAATCGAATTAAAAAACCAATTCAACAATGAATTCTTACCAAAAAGAGATATTCTTGTGACTTCTCTGGTATATCGATTTTTATCATTTGAAAAAATGTTTTGTAGATGTTATATTTAACTTTTCTGATGAGAACATAATTGTACGAATGTATGTTGACGATAAAATATTTCAATAATTAGGAAGAAAAAAATGTCATAAAATGTTAAGATTAATTGACCATAATAAAGTACGCTACTATTTGTGTTTCAGTATTGCCATGTTTTCTTTTTTACTTTTAGACCATAGAAATATAATAAAAACAATACCTATTATATATATTCTTTTAAATTAAATATTAAGAAATATTGATGAAATTAAATGCAAATTTTCAAAAAAGGCCAGTTAAAAATAGATATGTAAATGATAAACAGAAAATTCAAGTTTTCTTTCTGTTAATACGGGATTTATTCATCTCTCGTAAAATATGTGAACTATTTATTTATTACCATGAAGATAGGTTCTGTATTTAAAGAAAACCTGAATATCATCTTTATATTGATTCATAGTTATGTGGCTAATGGACATAACACATAACGATTGTAATGTCAAAAGATTGTTTTGTAAACAATAATATAACATAATGCTGATTAAAGATGAGCTCAACTATTTGTGCGGTTCTTATTTTACTTTAATGCTATTTATCTATTACCTTACCACTCAGTTTTATTTGATATACAATTCAACATTAAAAAACATTTACATTTAAAATATGACAGGATATAACATATCTTTTAATTTGTACATGTATTTATCCGGAAATTGTTACTAAAATATATTACTTTAATCGTAATACTGAATAAAAGCGATGGCCTGGCGGATTTCGCGTCTGCTTCTCAACCAATATATAATTAGATCACAAAGATCATGCTTCCTGCATATGGCACCATTACTGACTGATTCCAGGAAACGGACTTGAGAGCAGTTCCCGTAGGCTTAACATATTCCTTATATTCGAGCTAAAAATAAATTAAAACTAAAAAATACAAAATATAAAGGAGTTTTGGAAAATCGTTTACTAGGATTAATTTCTCAAAAATAGCTCTATTTTAATTGCAATCTCTTAAAATTTTCTTTAAAAAGTAAATTTGATTAAATAGATGCTGCCTTTTGTATTTGTGTCTGCTGAATCCGAATAGATATAGTTTTATTTTTGTTTGTTTGTTGTTGTTTTTATATACAACAAATTCTGATAGGCTGTTTCATACGAAACAATTCATTATCAACTTTGATTACATAAGTTTAGCGCTGTTTAAACAACAAAAGATTTATGTATGGCGATAAACACAAAAATCTTTGTCAGACTTTTTATAGTACGTCACAGAGTATTTATTGCAGTAAATGTTTTCAAAATAAAACAGTTTTTGACTAATATGTAAAAACACTGATAAGAACAATAATAGATATGCGCAATATAAATGTTGAAAAAATCATTATATATATAAAGATATAAAGTCATCACGCAGACAATCTGCCAATATATCTATGATACAACTTTTAATATCCAATAACGTTGATCGCTTTCTAAAATTATATTTCGAGTGAGATTTTCATTACACGAGATTTATATGAATGATCTTTTTTTTAGATCAAAGCGAATCAATTGCTAATCGTATTTTTATCTTTTATTCCTGTTGAAAAATGGATTGGTATTCTATGTGTGTTTTAAATCACACGTGTATCCGTAGAGAGTTTATCATTACACCTTCTGGAAAACCACTTCGATTGGGGGATAAAGATAAATTACATAACTTGATAGAACATTCTTATCATTTGGTAACCATCTCTTTCTATGCAATTGAAGTAATGCATACTGGTGTTTTGCAATCATAATGTTACCCTGTTATCACATGGAATTTCTTCTAGATACTTTAACAGCAAATATGTGATTATATGCTGAGAATAAGGAACTTTATTAATTTAAAGATTGTGTTCTCACTCAAGTCAAATCATTTTAAATCAATATGACGTATGTTATTTTAAGATAGATTGTAAAATATTCAACTTAATTATTTCATATAGAATCAAATGGTTTTGTTCAGTTAACGTTCAATCACTTCATATTAAACCAGGAATATATCTCGAAATACGAGTATATATTAAAAAAACCTGCTTGCCAGACGATTGATTAAATTGACAAAGCGATGATATATTCTCCTTAAACAAAGACGCAGAATGACATTGGTCAAATTTAACAGTAATTTGTCTGACAACATAAGTATATTGTCATATTGTTTTATTATATTATTTAACATAGTGACATTAACGTTGATATATTACGTCTGGCCTGAGATTACTCAACAATAAATACCTTGTTTACCTGAAATCTAACAATCTATTTGTCTATATATATTAGATAATTGAAACTCCACGTATATAAATGTAAGCAGACGAAATAAACGAAATAACTTCTTGAATGAAATGTCAATCTTGAACTTTTCGAATTTTCCATGAACCAATGTTCTTTTTATT